ATATTTTCATAAAAGTTACCTCCCGCAGCTTTCATGCATCTGAGGGAGATTATTGATTATTATTTATTTTGTTCATTGCATGCCTTCATAACATCAAGACTTGTACTTATCACGCATGACATACGAAACATAATAAAAAAAGGACGGAAAAGATATAGTGACATAACAAGAAGGAACAGACAAGAGAGGAAGATTTGACCCGATTTTTAGGTATGTTTTTTACAAAGAACATTTCAGCAGACCTTGATGACTTACACAGCAGGCTTTACTGAGACTGGATCATTGGGAAGTGTCAACCCAGATCTGAAGGTCACAATTAACACTAGTAAATATGTACGAAGATCTAATTGGAGAATGGTCCAAAACAAGGCCTAAGCTTATCTAACTCACCCTGAATCCCCCAAGATGCCACCTAGAACCTTGCACTACTTCTACAAGGAAATGACAGCCAGTCTTCCCCTGGGTGATAGCTAATCTCAAAATATGGTACAGCTTGGCCCTGTACCACTGCAGCTTTGCCGTGACGGCATCAACAAGAATCCCAGGGACCCAGAACACAAACTGACTCAAGTCTCTACTGGACCTGGATGGACCATGCAGTCATCCCTGTATGCTTGTCTGGGACCCTCCGACGTATTGAATGTGTAAAGGACGAACATTTCACACAAAACCACAAAGACCAGCTGTGTGGATTGTCTCAACAAAATTTCATAGAAGTTCATCCAATGTTTGTTGAGATATTTTAGCAGCTAGTTCCAAACATTTTTATGTTTTTTTATGTGTGTAGTTGTCCTGAGCCGTTAGCTGAGTAATAGACATGGAAATATCTTTCTGATATAAGTTTAAAAACATTTTCAGAAGAGTTAGCTTTTAACATCATCTTCTGAAAAACATGCTCTTGGCTGGTTTGATGAATTTGACAACATCCTGATCATAGTCTATGAAATACTTGCAGGGTGAATACACAAATCCTCTTGGATACACACGCACACACACACACACACACACACACACACACACACACACACACAAACCCACTAACATATATGCATGCCCTAACAGCAGGATGGTCTTATGCTGCTTTAATCCTGTATCCATGGAGACCAATCTGTCCATCGCCCTAGGGACAAGAAAAGATCAGCCAGCATCTGTTTCGCTGTACTTCTGTCTGTCTGTTTCTCCATCTACCCATGAGCCCGTCTGTCTGTCAGCCTGTTTGTGCATGTTGCAGTCTGTCAGGAGCCTTTTTCATCAACCGCCAAGTGCATTTTAAAATAACAACCTGTGATGTTTTTTAGATTGTCAGTTTTGCTAGTCTTTGACATTAATTGATGCAATGCAATCATAGTTTGGCAGCAAGTGATCTGTTTAACAGTGGAATGATTACAGAATGAGCCTGACAGTTAATGAAAAAACCCAGTAAAGACGTCAAAGGCTAAACTCATATGATCTCTGGGAAATGCGGTGCAAACACACCACAGCAATGAGCTTTAAATATGTTCTGTATCAAGTAAAAACAAATTAAAAACCCACTTAAGCAAACTTTTTTGCACTTAACCTTTATTTCCATGTGCAATCATATAAAATGAACACATAAACATGGTACAAAAGTCAGCCTCTCATAATCAACATTCAACTCAAAGAGGTATCACAGACATAGGGACCCTGTTAGCCTTATTCTAATCCCTCTGTAATCACTCATCAGTTTACCTATACACTTATTCATATGCTCATTGGGACACTCCAGAAGTTAAAGAGGAAAGGATGAGGAGAAATCACAAACATTTTGTCAGTTAACCATCACTGTACTTATACACATTCCCATTCACATCACTATACATGTCTACCATCACATACAAGTACAAGTACTCCCCTCTGTAAAGATTACATCGAAGTTATGTATTTACTCAGTGTTGAAAACGTGGGTTGCAGGAAATTTTAATTGCAACTAAATTGTTGCAAATAAATTTGAAGAATTTCTTCCACCTGCTAAATGCATGTATTTTTTCTCATTTTTTTTTACAGTATTTTAAATGTGTACATTTCTGGCAAGGGAAAAACTGCCTTTTAAGAGGCAGAAACCTAGGACAGATCCTCCGGCTCTAGGTGGGTGGTCGTCTGTCTCGACCAGTTGGGGTGAGAGAGAGAGAGAGAGAGAGAGAGAGAGAGAGAGAGGCAGAGAGAGAGAGAGCGAGAGAGAGAGGCAGAGAGAGAGAGAGCGAGAGACAGACAGACAGACAGGTGCACAGCAACAACAGTATTGGCAATGGCAGTCAAGCAGGACCATGGCAGTCAAGCAGGACCATGGCAGGAGGCTCCACCAGGATCCATGAGAACCTGCGAGACGAGAAAGCACAAGAACTCCGGGGAAGAAGTGGAGTTAGTAACATGCATTAATGGGACATGAATGAGTGCATAAAGAGAGAGGAAGGGAGGAGCTCAGTGCACCATGGGAAATCCCCTGATAGTCTAGGCCTATAGCAGCATAACTAAGGGATGGTTCAGGACTCACCTGATCCAGCCCTAACTATAAGCTTTATCAAAGAGGAATGTCTTAAGCCTACTCTTGAATGTGGTGAGGGTGTCTGCCTCCCGAACCACAACTGGAAGCTGGTTCCACAGGAGAGGAGCTTGGTAACTGAAGGCTCTGGCTCCTGTTCTACTTTTAGAGACTATAGGAACCACAAGTAGCCCAGCATTCAGAGAACGCAGTATTCTAGAGGGGTAATAGGGTACTATGAGCTCTTTAAGATATGAAGGGGCCTGACCATGAAGAGCTTTATAGGTGAGGAGGAGGATTTTAAATTCAATTCTACATTTTACAGGGAGCCAATGCAGAGAAGCTAGTACAGGAGAGATGTGATCTCTTTTTCTAGTTCCTGTCAGTACTCGTGCTGCAGCGTTCTGAATTAATTGGAGCGTTTTAATGGACTTATTGGGGCAACCTGATAATAAAGAGTTGCAGTAATCCAGCCTTGAAGTAACAAATGCATGGATTAGTTTTTCTGCATCTGTCTGTGATAGGATGTGTCTAATTTTTCTAATATTACGTAAATGAAAGAAGGCGGTCCTAGAGGTCTGCTTTATGTGGGAGTTAAATGACAAATCCTGATCAAAGATAACTCCAAGATTCCTGACAGTGGTGCTAGAGGCCAAGTTAATGCCATCTAGAGTGACTATATCTTTAGACAATGAGTCTCTAAGGTTTTTGGGGCCAAGAACAAGAATTTCGTTTTCGAAAGCATCAAATTGGCATTAAAGGAACCGCACTAAGCTGGTTTAAGTCATATTTATCAGATCGCTCGCAGATTGTACATGTTAACGATGAATCTTCAATAAATACTACAGTTAGTCATGGAGTTCCACAAGGTTCTGTACTTGGACCAATACTATTTACTTTATATATGCTCCCTTTAGGCAACATTATTAGGAATCACTCCATTAACTTTCACTGTTATGCAGATGATACGCAGTTATATCTATCAATCAAACCCAATGAAATTAATCAATTATCTAAATTACAAACATGTCTTACGGACATAAAATCCTGGATGACCTGCAATTTTCTGATGTTAAACTCAGAAAAAAACGAAATTCTTGTTCTTGGCCCCAAAAACCTTAGAGACTCATTGTCTAAAGATATAGTCACTCTAGATGGCATTAACTTGGCCTCTAGCAGGATCTGTCCTAGGTTTCTGCCTTTTAACAGGCAGTTTTTCCTTGCCCTTGTCGCCAAGTGCTTGCTCATGGTGGTACTGTTGGGTCTCTGTAATTAATGTTAAAGAGTTCGGTCTAGACCTGCTCTATTTGAAAAGTGTCCTGAGATAACTTCTGTTATGAATTGGCGCTATACAAATAAATAAAATTGAATTGAATTGAATTAATTAGTTTGAAAGCCTTGTTCTTAGTCTTTCTCACCCAAACTGGAAAACAAGCCAGTTCTATTTGTTATAGTGTACCGTGCTCCTGGACCGTACTCTGATTTTATATCTGAATTCTCAGAGTTTTTATCAAGTTTAGTCCTTAAATCAGATAAAGTAATTATTGTAGGTGATTTTAATATTCATGTGGATGTTAACAATGACAGTCTTAGTAACGCATTTATATCATTAATAGACTCAATTGGCTTCTGTCAGAGTGTAAATAAACCAACTCATTGTTTTAATCACACTCTTGACCTTGTTCTATCATATGGCATTGATATTGAACATTTAATAGTCTTCCCACATAATCCTTTCCTATCTGACCATTATTTAATAACTTTTGAATTCATACCATGTCTATCTGACAGTGCTGTAGCTAAATTTAAGGAGGAGATTCCTTCAGTGTTTAATTCAATGCCATGTCTGAATTTAACAGAGTCCTATAACGACTTTAGTCCCTCTGAAATTGATAATCTTGTCGATAGTGTTGCAGGCTCACTACGATCAACATTAGACTCTATCGCTCCTATAAAAAGGAAATTATTAAAACATAGGAGACTAGCACCGTGGTACAACCACCAAACCCGCCAGTTAAAACAAATAGCTAGGAAATCTGAAAGGAAATGTCGCTCTTCCAAATTATCAGAATATCGCTCAATTTGGCATGATAATCTTAAAACTTATAGAAAGGCCCTCCGTAATGCCAGAGGAGGCTATTATTATTACCATTGACCATGATATTCTTTTACAGAGACTTGAGCATCAAATTGGCATTAAAGGAACCGCACTAAGCTGGTTTAAGTCATATTTATCAGATTGCTCGTAGTTTGTACATGTTAACGATGAATCTTCAATAAATACTACAGTTAGTCATGGAGTTCCACAAGGTTCTGTACTTGGACCAATACTATTTACTTTATATATGCTCCCTTTAGGCAACATTATTAGGAATCACTCCATTAACTTTCACTGTTATGCAGATGATACGCAGTTATATCTATCAATCAAGCCCGATGAAATTAATCAATTATCTAAATTACAAACATGTCTTAAGGACATAAAATCCTGGATGAGCTGCAATTTTCTGATGTTAAACTCAGAAAAAAACGAAATTCTTGTTCTTGGCCCCAAAAACCTTAGAGACTCACTGTCTAAAGATATAGTTACTCTAGATGGCATTAACTTGGCCTCTAGCACCACTGTCAGGAATCCTGGAGTTATCTTTGATCAGGATTTGTCATTTAACTGTCATTTTTCCCATGGTGCACTGAGCTCCTCCCTTCCTCTCTCTTTCTGCACTCATTCATGTTCCATTAATGCATGTTACTAACTTCACTTCTTCCCCGGAGTTCCTGTGCTTTCTCGTCTCGCAGGTTCTTATCGATCCTCGTGGAGCCTCCTGCCATGGTCCTGCTAGATTGCCATTGCCAATACTGTTGTTGCTGTGCACCTGTCTGTCTGTCTGTCTCTCGCTCTCTCTCTCTCTCTCTGTGTCTCTCTCTCTCTCTCTCTCTCACCCCAACTGGTCGAGACAGACGACCACCCACCTAAAGCCGAAGGATCTGTCCTAGGTTTCTGCCTTTTAACAGGCAGTTTTTCCTTGCCCTTGTCGCCAAGTGCTTGCTCATGGTGGTACTGTTGGGTCTCTGTAATTAATGTTTTAAAGAGTTCGGTCTAGACCTGCTCTATTTGAAAAGTGTCCTGGGATAACTTCTGTTATGAATTGGCGCTATACAAATAAAATTTAATTGTATTAAGAGACTCCGTGGCCGCGTCGAGTGCCAAGACAGCTGCTCTGGAGTCACCTGATTGGTTGGTATATATGTTATTCAGAAGCTGCCGCACATTACAAAATGAGAATCTTACTGGGATAAACCCTGTTGGGTCAGGATGTATAACTGAAGAGACGTGCCTTCCTAACCTGTTGGCTAGCACCTTCGTGACGGACTTCTGGTCAAAATTGAGGAGAGCAATGGGCCTGTAATTTACAGGCTTGGTGTCTTCCTTGCCTTTTTTGAACAAAAGGCATATATTCGCTTTATACAGCGACCCCAGACATGTTTTTCTCTCAGTGGAGTCTTTGATCATCCTAAGCAAGAGTGGGGTGAGTGTTTTATGAAATGCCTTATAAAACTCGCAGCCAAACCCGTCTGGGCCAGCTGCTTTGCCAGAGGGAAATGATTTAATTGCCTCAACTAACTCATCTTCAACATAAAACAACACAAATAAACCCCACCTCCCTCCCCACAGAAACTTCCCCAAATGAAGCATATTTTCCCTGTGTATAGCTTGTAAACACAAGTCTAACCAACCGAACATTTTCAGCTAAACAAGCTAGGTGCCCCTCTACCGTTCTAAACAGCCAAAAGTAGGCATATAAAATTAAAATATTAACGTCAATGATTGTGAAAGTGTTCCTTATGCTCTGTGCAAAAGTCTGTGAACATAACACGACTGTCAGTTCACAATCCGGTCAGACCATGTCTAGTCATTTCCAGTATCCCGCTGCAAGTTGCAGATGAACATCATCGCTTCCTCGGGAGAGGTGAATATCTTCTGAAGCCAGTTGTGTTGGAAGTGGAGCTTGGCCGGGAAACACAGGATGTGCTTGATTTTCAGCTCACGCAGGGCTGCCATAGCCTCACGGAACCCCCGTCGCTGCATATGGCGTGTTGATGACCGGGGACGCCCTCACTAGCCATTACCACGCTGCTGCTAGCTTGCCTCGGCCTCAGCGGCTTGTCCTTCTTTTCTTTGGCTTTAGAGTTAGCGGTAGTCGACATTTCTTGGTCTTAAACGGTCACGCGGGGATATAGAAACAAAATTGGGATGATATTTTCGAGCAAACTTGTTAAAGACGGCAAATTTTAACAAATATAAACTGAATGGAGAGGAGCTCTCACAGAGACGTATTACTCCATATGCGGCACACTAGCGCCCCCTAATAATAATTTTTAATTCCCAATTCTGTTTGGTTTCCGTAGTATTTCCTACTACATTATCTTGAAGCCATCTGTATAGGGGGGCATTAGGTTCTTGTTTATCACTCCTCCATAGTTAATATGAAAACCCTTTATAAATTAGATGTTAGTTTACAAATCTGCTCCCAGTCTATGAGCAAACATTAAAATTGAAGGTTTCTAACAATACAGTTTACATTTAAAAAAGGACAGCAGGGTACACATTCATTACAGCTTTTCATGGAAATAACATGTTTACTACAAGTCATGTGCACTACAGTTTTGGAACTTGGATGTTTTCTGTCGACTGTTCCAAACATTCCATTTCTCTCCGTACGACATAATAATCATGAAGTCCCTGGAAAGTTGCTTCAGCTGTGTAATCCATCACGGTGAACATCATGTCTGCATTAATGAATTATTTTTGTGAGGTAATGCAGTGCAGAGTTTCAAATCAATCTGCTCTTAAACTAAATTGGCAAAATCAATTTTGACTTGATGTTCACTGTGATGGATTACATAAGTGAAGCAATTTTTTAAGAGCCTGTAAATAGATTTTCATACCATACAGGAATTAATGGTTTCCAAGGTTATCATAGTTAAATAAAAATATAACTATATTTAACTTTAAAAATATTTTTTGTACACTGAAATATAAATAAAAACTAGATGAAAATGAACTGAAACAATATTGTGACTAAAATCCTTCATCCGGTTCCCATATAAACTATCAACTTTGGACAGACCTCACCCTGCTTCCAGTCCAAACGTTTAGCTAGGCTACCTACCTCCTGACTCCAGCTCTGTAGGTAACACACAGACATGATATTCCTCTTAGCATTTGACTCTCGAAGAAGTGCAAAATGTTCTATCCCTTAAATTGATTTAATAAGCTCCAAGCATCACATAATTTCCTGAAGCCCATGCTATGAATTTGCCACATTTGAACTGAAGTTAAACATGATAATCCTCTACAGTTGCATGCTTTCAGTAGGACAACAGCAACATATGGTTACAATAAAGTTGTATTTCCATCCTTTTTGTCCAGCCTGTTTTCTGTTCCCTGTTACTGCAATGTATTATTACCGTTTTTCTCATCAAATTACTGTAACCCAGATACATGTAATCCATCACTCTCCTCCCTCACAGGTTGTTTCCCCGAACATCGGAGGAGGAATGAAATGAAGAATGAAGGCAGAGTGTTGGTGAATAAAGATGCTGGCTGCCCCTGCAGTCCTTTATGAATGTGTATGGGCCGTGTGGGTGACTGTGCTTCATACTGGGACCATTTGATGCTGAGTTATGTCTGAGTGAGGGAGAATAGAGCAGGATGAGATATGGAGAGGCAGCCAGAGCTGGGCCGGGAGAGGGACAAATGGAATACAGACAGATAGATAAACTGAGAGGCTGAGAGAATATATCTTTCTGTCTGTCTGATTCTGTCTCTCTGTCTTCATCAATCTCTATCTGTCCATCTCTCCATCTGTCTATCTATTTATATCACATCGCTCCATTAGTCTGTCCCTCCCACCACTCACTTTACTTAAATGCGCACACACATACCTCACATACATACACAAACACAGACATTAGTCTGTGAAAATAATTTCTAACATATGTGTAAGACAGACCATTACCATTACCACACACACAGTTTATGTAATGGATTTTTTTATTTATTATTATTATATTTTCTATTATAATAATTATTATAAATTATATTTGATAAAATACACATCATTTTATTGATTTTATTTCATTTTATTCCCTCATCTTCCCTCAAAATCTGCTGAGGCCCCCTGGCAACTCCTGTCTGGTCCCCACTCTGCAAAAACACTGTTTTAGGAAAAACAGTGGGAACCCATTCTTGTGCGTCTGTATGAAACGCTAAGGGCGTAACAACACGACTGGCTGCAATCTGCCATCCCTCCAGGACCTGCATGCTTCAGGGTCTTGGAAGATAAGATAAGATAAGATAAAATATTCCTATATTTATCCCCCTCAGGAGAAATTTGTGTAGGTCGATCCCTGGATTGTGGCTGAACCCTCCCACCCAGGATACAAGCTTTTGGTAGGAAAGATTCCTGTCTCAGAGCCAGAACCTTAGCCAGGACGTTGGAATCAGCATTTTCCCTTATCCTCAGGCACCCCCTGGCACCTTGTGGTTTCCCACTGGTTTAGGAGTTGGTTGAAACCCCTGGTTCATGGATGGTAAATGGTAAACGGACCTGTACTTGTATAGCGCCTTTCTAGTCTTCCGACCACTCAAAGCGCTTTTACACTACGTGCCACATTCACCCTTTCACACGCATTCACTCAGTGATGGCAAAGTCACACACTGATGCACGGCATCGGGAGCAATTTGGGGTTCAGTATCTTGCTCAAGGATACTTCGACGTGTGGCACCAGGAGCCGGGGATCGAACACACAACCTTCCGATTAAGGAACGACCCTCTGCCTCTGAGCCACAGCCGCCCCAGTTCATGTCATGCAAACCCTAAAGGGTATCTTGTGTGGCTACACATTAGTATTTGGCAATTTGGTAATGAGAATGGGCTGGACCTTCATCATCATCCCTGTCCCTAAAAAAACCAAGGACCATGCACAGGAATTCATGATTAATAGACCAGGTGACACCACTCTCATTGGGTCAATGTCACAGGCTTATTAGCCAGAAGCTGCAAGTAGATCCTAGTCCCTCTTCAGGATAAAAGAGATAATGGCTTAGTAATCTGGTGTTAAGGGCTTCAAGCATGGGTTTCACCAAGACATTTGTAAAGGTTTTAAAAAATTTGATGGGGGAACCACTTTGCATAGACTTCATCTAAGGAGAGAGGCTGGTGGAGGGGATAGCAATTTGCTTAGGAAGGCGTCTAAAAGGGACTGATCTGCAGATGATTCTGACTCATATAGTTTTCATTGGCCACATTATTGTTGCCTTTCCTTTACATAGATATGGATTTACTAGAAAGCCATGTATGTACTTACTTCACATAGCAAGTGCATGTGCTGCAGCCATGCTGGCAGAGACTAACATATGCTTTCCCATGTACTAGTGGTATGCCAGAAGCAGGCAGTCATGGTAAGCACACATGCATTATGCTTTCCTGATCCACTTTGAAAGGGTTCTGGCAAGGTTACATCTGCACACCCCTCAACACAAACAGCACAACACATACTGAAGTCAGTATTCTGTGGAGGACCAAACATGGTTAATAACCATGCTCTTCAGTTTAGTACAAACACAGCATAATAGAAAAACCTGTGGAAGATATACAGGAAATTACTTTATGTTCATTATGTAATATCATTTTAAACAAATAAATAAACTGCAACTTTGATCTCATTTCCTCAGTATCACAATTGATTTTTTACACATTTAGAGTAATTGCATTTTGTAAGTGAATAAATCCTAAAAATATATGAAAACAAGTAATGACATGGTCATAATTGCTGCCAAATTTTCTCTCTCTGCCTATTACAACCTCCCTGCTCATGATTCTATCCCTTCTCTACTAAATCACAGGAACAGGTTTGCACGGTGTGTCACAGCCTGGTGTAATGCATAAAGCCCATATCCCATACATGTTATGTAAATGACTTGGCATGCCTTTTGGTGTAAAGCAGTCCCACATTACTCTGCTCTGTACTTGGTAATTCAGGATAACCATATTTCTTTTATGTAAATAGTTTCCATTTCAAGTCGGGGTTCTGATTTATAGATTTTGGTTTGTTGACAACATACCAACATCGGCTTGATTCTAGAGCTGTAATGATAGCTATCGATTAGTCAATCAACAAAAAATTAATTAACAGCTCATCTGTTAATTAAAAAGTATGCGTTACAGTGCAGTCACTGTACGAATTCATCGACTATTATTATATATTCAATTCAATTCAATTCAATTTTATTTGTTTAGCACCAATTCATAACAGAAGTTATCTCAGGACACTTTTCAAATGGAGCAGGTCTAGACCGAACTCCTTATAACATTTACAGAGACCCAACAGTACCACCATGAGCAAGCACTTGGCGACGGGGGCAAGGAAAAACTGCCTGTTAAGAGGCAGAAACCTAGGACAGACCCTTCGGCTCTAGGTGGGTGGTCGTCTGCCTCGACCAGTTGGGGTGAGAGAGGGAGAGAGAGAGAGAGAGAGAGAGAGACAGAGAGAGAGAGACAGAGACAGACAGACAGTTGCACAGCAACAACAGTAGCAACATCTACATTAATAGTAGTGACTGATGATGATGAACATGAAGATTCAAGATTCAAAAAGCTTTATTTATCCCGAGGGAAATTGCTCTGTAACAATTGCAATACAAAAGTAGAGAGTCTGTTGCTGAAGGTGCTTCTGCTCGAGGTTAGCACCTGTGCAGTTTACACAGCATCCTCCTCTCAGACACCACCACCAAAGAGTCCAGTTGGACCCCCAGGACGGAGCCAGCCTTCCTGATGATCCTGGTGATCTTCTTGGCTTCTGCTGCCCTCAGCCTGCTGCCCCAGCACACAACAGCAAAGAAGATGGCACTGGCTACCACCGACTGTTAGAACATCCTCAGCATGATGTTACATACGTTGAATGACCGGAGCCTCCTCAGGAAATAGAGTCGACTCTGGCCCTTCTTGTAAACAGCCTCAGTGTTCTTGGCCCAGTCCAGTTTGTTATCCAGGTATACTCCAAGGTATTTGGAATCCTGGACAACATCCACAGTCACACCGTTGATGGAGATGGGCAGATTTCCTCCTGCGGAAATCCCCCACCAGCTCCTTAGTCTTGGTGGAGTTGAGATGCAGATGATTAGTTGCACACCACTCGACGAAGGAGTCCACAACACCCCTGTACTCCTCCTCCTTCCCCTCACTGACACAGCCAACAATTGCAGAGTCGTCTGCAAACTTCTGCAGGTGGCAGGACTCAGAGAGGAACTGAAAGTCCAAGGTGTACAGGGTGACCAGAAAGGGGGAAAGAACAGTTCCCTGTGGAGCCCCAGTGCTGCTGACCACAGTGTCAGACACACCATCCTGCAGTCTGACATACTGTGGTCGACCCATCAAATAGTCCGTAATCCAGGAAACCATGGACTTCTCCAGTGCGTTCAACACCCTCCCCTGAACATGATTCTCACAGTGCTTCCCGGTCTGTCCAGGTGGGTGCAGGCACGGTGGAGCAGGAAGATGATGGCGTCCTCCACTCCTAGTCTTGGCTGGTAGGCAAACTGAAGAGGGTCCAGTGATGAGCTGACCAGGAGCCGAAAAAGTGACAGGACCAGCCTCTCCAGGGAGTTCTTCAGGTGAGACGTCAGTGCCCAGTGGCAGGAGGTGCTGGGACGCGCCTTCTTCGGTACTGGTACCAGGCAGGATGTTGTGTGTGTTGATGGGGGTGGGGAGAGGTGATGGTGTGGGGGAGAGGACAGGTAGGGCGTAGTCAGGAAGGAACGGAGGGGGAGGGTGGGCAGCAGGGCTGGAGTTTTGGAAATGGATGGTTGTAGAGGAGCTGGGGGAGGGGTAGTCCAGAGCCCTCTTATCAAATCTGTTGAAAAACAGATTCAGCTCGTTGGCTCATTCAGTACCACCTCCTATTGTCTGGCTGCCAGATGGTTTGTAGCCAGTGATGCTCCTCATGCCGCTCCATACGTCCTTCAGGTTGTTCTGCTGGAGTTTGAGCTCCAGGTTCCTCCTGTAGCTGTCTTTACCCTGTTGGATCCTCTCCTTAAGCTCCCTCTGAACCTGCCTCATCTGCTCCCTGTCCCCATCTCTGAAGGCCCTCTTCTTCTCATTCAGCAGGACCTTGATGTCTCTGGTGAACATAAAATCCTGGATGACCTGCAATTTTCTGATGTTAAACTCAGAAAAAACCGAAATTCTTGTTCTTGGCCCCAAAAACCTTAGAGACTCATTGTCTAAAGATATAGTCACTCTAGATGGCATTAACTTGGCCTCTAGCACCACTGTCAGGAATCTTGGAGTTATCTTTGATCAGGATTTGTCATTTAACTCCCACATAAAGCAGACCTCTAGGACTGCCTTCTTTCATTTACGTAATATTAGAAAAATTAGACACATACTATCACAGACAGATGCAGAAAAACTAATCCATGCATTTGTTACTTCAAGGCTGGATTACTGCAACTCTTTATTATGAGGTTGCCCCAATAAGTCCATTAAAACGCTCCAATTAATTCAGAACGCTGCAGCACGAGTACTGACAGGAACTAGAAAAAGAGATCACATCTCTCCTGTACTAGCTTCTCTGCATTGGCTCCCTATAAAATGTAGAATAGAATTTAAAATCCTCCTCCTCACCTATAAAGCTCTTCATGGTCAGGCCCCTTCATATCTTAAAGAGCTCATAGTACCCTATTACCCCACTAGAACACTACGTTCTCTGAATGCTGGGCTACTTGTGGTTCCTATAGTCTCTAAAAGTAGAACAGGAGCCAGAGCCTTCAGTTACCAAGCTCCTCTCCTGTGGAACCAGCTTCCAGTTGTGGTTCGGGAGGCAGACACCCTCACCACATTCAAGAGTAGGCTTAAGACATTCCTCTTTGATAAAGCTTATAGTTAGGGCTGGATCAGGTGAGTCCTGAACCATCCCTTAGTTATGCTGCTATAGGCCTAGACTATCGGGGGATTTCCCATGGTGCACTGAGCTACTCTCTTCCTCTCTCTTTCTGCACTCATTCATGTCCCTTTAATGCATGTTACTAACTCCACTTCTTCCCCGGAGTTCTTGTGCTTTCTCGTCTCGCAGGTTCTCATGGATCCTGGTGGAGCCTCCTGCCATGGTCCTGCTTGACTGCCATTGCCAATACTGTTGTTGCTGTGCACCTGTCTGTCTGTCTGTCGCTCTCTCTCTCTCTCTCTCTCTCTCTCTCTCTCTCACCCCAACTGGTCGAGACAGACGACCACCCACCTAGAGCCGGAGGATCTGTCCTAGGTTTCTGCCTTTTAACAGGCAGTTTTTCCTTGCCCTTGTCGCCAAGTGCTTGCTCATGGTGGTACTGTTGGGTCTCTGGTATTAATGTTAAAGAGTTCGGTCTAGACCTGCTCTATTTGAAAAGTGTCCTGAGATAACTTCTGTTATGAATTGGCGCTATACAAATAAAATTGAATTGAATTGAATTGGTGACCTACGGCTTGTAATTGGGGAAACAGCGTAAAGTCACTGTAGGAACAACACTGTCCACACAGAAGTTGATGTACCCCGTTTTGCAGTCCGTGAGATCATCAAGATCCTCTCCATGCGAATCGCAGAGCAACTCCCAGTCTGTTAGTTCAAAGCAGCCCCGCAAAGCTTCATCGGTTTCCTGTGACCATCTCCTCACAGTCCTGGTGGTCACAGGAAGCCGCTGGACTTGGGGCTTATACAGGGGCTGCAGGTGGATGAGGTTGTGGTATGATCTTCCAAGCTGTAAGCCTCCTTAACATTGGCATACAGCAGGTCCAGTGTCTTGTTTTCCCTGGTGGGACAGTCCACAAACTGCTTGAAAGTGGGCAGTGTTGCAGCCAGAGTGATGTGATAGAAGTCCCCAGATATCGCGATTAATGTGTCTGGGTGCCGTGTCTGGAGTCCCACCACGACGGTGTGGATGACGTCACTCGCTCGCACCGCGTTTGTAAACAATGTAAACAACCAGGATGATCACGTGTGAGAACGCCCTTGGCAGATAATATGGCCGCAGACTCACGGCAAGCAGTTCAATGTCCGGGCTGCACACAAGCTCCTTTACAGTAACGTGACCAGGATGACACCACTTGTTGTTAATAAGAATAGCAAGTCCCCCAACTTTCCTCTTGCCACTCTCACGGTGACTCCTGTCCGCCCGAACAGTCTGAAAGCCGTCCACAGTTACATTATTGTCTGGAATGTCCTTGTGGAGCCACGTCTCCGTGAAACACAGCACGCTGCTCTCACGATACACCCGCTGAGTCCTCACCAAGCCCGCCGGCTCGTCCATCTTATTAGCCAGCGACCTCACGTTCCCCATGGTGATGGAAGGGAGAGATGGTTTATATCTCCGCTTCTTTTCCCGGTGTTTACGTCCAGCCTTACATCCCCTGTACTTCCTGCTCAGTTCTCTGGGGATTTCAGGCCTCTCCCGCATCAACGCCAATGGTTGTAGCGACAACAGCTGATCTCGGGTGTAAACAATAGACCCACCGCATTGTTGAGCCCAGACGGAGATGCGGTCGGGAAAAATTGTCCCAAGAATGAGACACACGGACAAAAAACATGGAAAAAAGTTCCCAAACATAGTTGGCTAAGGTTAGCACAACAACTAACTGAAAAAAAAAAACGGTAATAAAAAACAATAAATAAGAAAAAAATAGCTAAAAGTGCGGAAAAGAGAGAGAGCAACTGTTGCTGGCTGCCGCTCGACACAGCGCCTGAACCGGAAAACCTGAAGAAGATGATGACGATGACAACAGCAACAATGGGGGACAATGGCAAGATAGAGCATTTAGCATTTATACAAGATAAACATACAAAGAAGGAACAACAAAACAAACAAACAACAGCACTAGGGTCAAGGCTGTCTTTGCAGTCATAACCCTTGCATCATTACTGAAATCAAATGAAACACTTCTGTCCAAAAGGACTGCAGGGCGTTGCCAGAGAAGTTCCCACTTGTTCACAACCATGCCTGCAGATATCTGAGAAGCTGGCTCGCTCTGTGAAGGCAAGATGGATTCCTGCATGATCTCGCAAGTCCAGCTGCCTTGCTAGGTTACTTCTGTACAGTTTGAGCTATAGCGTGGGTTGCCAGATACAGTCAGTGAGGACAGGTGTTTGGTTTGTGCTCTGTACAGTACAGGCATGAGAACTTCAGGAAGCTGCTGCACCTGACTTGTTCTTTCCCCCTAAAACAGCAAACTTCCCTTGTTCCATTTCCATCTGTGTACAGATTACACAAATTATACACAACATGCTCATTAGTGAGCTATAGAGGTGTTGCTTCTTGTTTATGCTAAGCTAGACTCATTTGGGAGAACAGATCCTTTAAAAACTAACACCAGTGAGCTGTTAGGAAACTTTGTCGTAATATATGGAGGCTCTGTGGGGCTCAATAATAAAATCGGGAAGCGTATCTTTAAACAGTTCAGTCAGTGATCTGTGAAAAACCACATTTATTATCTGCGGCCCAACTCTGCGAGACACAGCGTGACAAGCCCTAGCAGGGTGATAACAGACGGAGCTGCCCTCCCTCTTCCTTCAGTTTGGGAATATGATTGTATTGTAATATCCTCGCTGAGTTATCCGCCACACCGCTGCTTTTCACTGCACCTAAATTATTGTCCTGTGTGTTAAATGCAAGACCCTGATTGTAATGGCTGCCTCCCACTGTTTATTGGCGGGCAGACGGCGGCGGTGCATTAGCAGCGGTAGACCATTAACATATAAATGTTTTCCTGTGTGAGTGTATTGTGTGCCAGTTGTGTGTGTGGAGAATGTGGGTAAACTTGTGCAGACTTAATATGCATGTCAGGCAGACTGGGAGGTGATAGTGTTCTCTGTAAATGTTTTGCTTGTTGCAGATCAATCAGTAAGATACCGCGCCAGCTATACGATCTGTATATGTATATGTAACTCGCTTTTCCCTCTCTCTCTCTCTCTGTGTCTCTCTCTCACTGTCTCTGTTCTTGACATTAATTAATCGTAAACCACCGGCCATCTGCCATCACTTAAGGCAACTGACCTCCTGACCTGGAGAATTGGCACAGCATTGCAACCCTCATATGTGTGTTATGCTCCTACACACACATTTGTGCTACCATCTCTGTGAGGTCCTTCCATGTAAAATATATGATTTCTATCATCAAGTTTAATGATGTGATATGAAGTAGCTTGGGATTGTGGGAGTTGAGTCTTCTCCACCAATGCTGTCATTGCAGTCATCTTCTCCCGGTTAGGATTCCTTCAGTGTTCATGGTTCAGGAGGTTTCTACCAGGAGCCCAATTATCCACAGAGGTCTCCTCCTCTTCAAAAGAAACTGACCCACTGATTAAAACCACTCAAAACACTGAATAAAGCAGTTCCACCAAAAAAAATCACTGCTTCTCCTATGCTGTTGTGCAGACAAAGGACGGGACGGGGCTGCGAGCCGAGCTGCTGCTAACTTTAGCTCAGCTTGTTTCTCCAATGACTAAAATTCTTCATCCGGTTCAAATCTAGGGTTAAAAAGCACCAAGATCTAAACAGTGGATGGTAAAAATGTGGATTCAAACTGGATAAAAAGTCAATGTATGACAGCTTCTGGCAGACAACCACAACGCTGACGCATGCACAAAGGGCTGTTGACAACGACCAGTGAAACGCAGCTTTACTTGAATAAAATGACAGATTTCTCTGAGTTTGAACATTGTTGGAGACATTTGGGATGATGTAAGTACACAACTCAACTATATAAAGAACATAAGTCTAGTGTTTATGGTAAATGGACCTGAACTTGTATAGCGCCTTTCTAGTCTTCTGACCACTCAAAGTGCTTTTACACTACGTGCCACATTCACCCTTTCACACACATTCACTCAGTGATGGCAAAGCCCATCAAACAGAAACTAACTCATTCATACACATTCACACACCGATGCACGGCATCGGGAGCAATTTGGGATTCAGTATCTTGCTCAAGGACACTTCGACATGCAGTGAGAGCAGCCAGGGATCGAACCGCCAACCTTCCGATTAGTGGAAGACTCGCTCTACCTCTGAACATTGAACTGCATCTTAAAATTGTAAAGTTGACAGACTTAACATCTCTAGAACTTGTTGTTTCCACCTTTTGCATTTCTGTTGTTCACACTGACAAAATAAACCCCAGCCTCTTGATTCTCACCTCTTACTTTCTCAGTTTGCCATATGTAGGTCCTATTATTACCCCAGCACATACTGGCAGACAGAAACACAGGCCAATAATTTAGATAATTACCTGTACAAGCCAAACATAATGTTGAAATAATAAAGAAGTGATTTATCTCTCTCATCCCTCTTCAAGGCGGTGCTGCTGTATGAATTTGTCTGACACACAGCACCTGGAGAAAAGCGCGCTGCATGATAATATCGGCAAATTCAAAAGATCTCCCCTACCTGATTAGTTCA